TACTAAAAACTCAAAATTCTTTTAAAGAACTTGATTTAATTTATTAAAGATTTGACTTGGCCAAAAAATCAAAATATGTCTCGAAATAACGCACCTATACTCAAAATAACGCGCCAGGGTGCGTTATTTCGCGACAATACGGTATAAATTTTATTCATATGACCTTTGGCGACAATTGGATGAATTGGTAAAAAGCTTATCTGGTAATACGAACTTCACATTTCTGTATTGCATGTTTGCGAATATAGTAGTATTATATATGAATTTTTCTATAGTTATTGTTTAGTTGCTCAGTACACATTGCTAATTAGATTTTAAAAACTTACTGGTTTATTTAAATAAATAGAGCACTTCAGCCATGCCGAATAAGGATGTTTAAGGATAGCTCTATTTAAACTTTGAGTTACATGAAATAGATGGATTCTCTAATACGTTTAAACAATTATCATAATGTAAGATTCCAATATTCGATCAAAAGACTTATGATCTAGAAATTATTTTTTAAGATTTAATATTTATTATTGAAAGAAAAAGTTTTTTTTTTCATAAAATTATTAATTTCATAAATTTGAAAGTTAGTTCATTGTTATTTTTACTTCTTATTTATATCAATACGAAGCCATGTTACGTATCATTATAGAATTTGATATTGCAGTATAAGTTTAATGTAATTGTATTAATAATTTTCAACGGTGGAAATTAAAAAATAATGTGTCAATTAAGAATTTTTTGTGATCGCACATATACCATTAAGTATACATTATTGATTTAGCAGAGCTTGGAACTGGTTTTATTTCACAAGCTAAAACCGATTAAAACCGGGTTTAACATATGAGTGCTGCCAAGGGAAAACCTGTCATCGGGCATTCAATTATATTTTGTGTACAGTTAGCCGCCTGTAGAAAATATATTATCATGATAGATTTTCTACAGGCGGCTAACTGTACACAAAATATAATTGAATGTCCGATGACAGGTTTTCCCTTGTATCCAACTCTAATTTGGCAAATGAGCACGTGCAGCCAATCATTTGTCAAATTACCGTATTCGCAAATTTGCTGTTATCCGACAATTTATAATCATGATTGATAGGACTACATCGTAACACGTGAAAAAATTAACAAGCTTTATGATCATATGAGTTTGACAGATAAAAGATTATTATTAGCAAGAATATCCTGGTCCATCGGGAATTGCAGGTGATCAGGGATTATCAACTATGAAAAAAAGCGGTGATTACTAGCGCATTTACAAACCATATTTCAATATTAGTTGTATAATTAGTATTGCATGTCAAAAAAAAACATACATGAATTTAAAAATTTTATGTTTGAATTCCACCCGTTATTTTAAGATTTTACGTGTGCAAAGCATATATTGCTAATTTTTAAAGTGGAAGGAAATTTTTTGTAGTGTGCGCATCGCCCATTCCATATATTACCATCCCATAGATTAATTTTAAACGCTAGACATATATGATACTTAAGTAAATTTAAGTACGCATCATATATATATATTTCGGATCATAGCTGAGTACGTATGACGGTTCGAGATTTCTCTTGGCGGCACTCATATACTAAATTAACAAATTTTGTGAAACAATAGATCGCCTTTTTTTTATTCATTTTATTCTATAAATGGATCAAAGTAATAATTAAATTGGAATTCAGGAGTAAAAATACGAATTTGGCAAATTTATGTTTCACACGACTATGAAAAATCTTTTTAGAACTTTATCGCTATCGCTATTTTTGAATTAAAGTTAATGCGATCCGTGAATTTGATAAACTTATGGATCCTGCATACTACGTTGCCATTGTATTCATAATGGTAATATCAGGATTTATGGGGCCATGAAATTTTATGACCAAACGTTAAATAAATAATAAATTTCACTCATACTAATATAAATTAGTGTGTTAATCCAACAATTAGATTGCTTAAAGGGTGCATTTTCACGTACTCCGTCATTTTGTAATATCTAGAAAGAAACACACTTAGCCATAATTTAATTACAAAGCTAAGTATGAAATATCACGCTTTAGATTACAGAATTACATCTTTTAACGGTTTTTTTTTTCTAAAAATTTCTTTGTAACAAAAAGTCAAATAAACCAATGTTTTCATATATATTATTTTTGCTACTTCCTTTTCTGGCTTTTATTCTTTATGAAATAAACAAAATTTGTCAATGTTTTTGCACTTTGTGCTTCGTAAATTACTCAGAGCTTTTAAAATATCTTTAAAATCGTATAACTAAAGTGTAGATAACTCAAATAAATTAATGTTTTATTTAATTAACTTCAGGTTAGAATCATTTTAGGTTAAGGCTAGATTATGGTTAAGTGTGTTTGTATAGTAAAATTGCCTTCTCGAAATTTTTCATAAATACCACAAAACAGGTTTAGGTTTTTTTTTTAGAATACCATTATTCTATTTCCCACGGTTTTTTTTTTCTTCAAAATTCCCACAATTTGATTGGGTCCTTTTGAGTCGATCCTAATACGTGTAAATTATTTATTTGAATTTTTTACTATATATCTTTATAGTAATTAGCAGAACGCTGTATGTCAATAGTAACCAACCTAATTTTTATCGACATATACATTATATCGTTTAAAATTTTTCTTAATAATTTTTTTCACTAATTGAGAAATATTCTTACTGATTCTTTTCACTAATAAAGGTCGGTATTATGGTGGGTACTGTAGGCAAAATGGCTGATCAAATAATATTGAAATTTATTTATATTCAAGCTTCTAATCCCATTCAGGTCGATTAAAATTTGCATTATCAAATTATTTTATTTTGGATTGATCTTGAATGAACTTTTAATCAACGTGGCGTGCAAACAACGAAAGTTTACATTTCTACGATCCCCTTTTCATGAAAACCAGGTTTTTAGTTTGCTTAATATGAAAATTTCTTATTATTTATATAAGGTCTCGAAAATGAAAATTCAAGACCATTTAAATATAAATAAGGCCAAACATTTATCGAAAAAATCAATAAAAAAAGAACAGACTATTTTTCCCATCAATTTTATTATTCATTATTTTCTTCTATCAATTTCCCAATTATCTCTTCGAACAAATTCCATCTATTAAAAAATAATAATGAGATTCCTGATTGCTATCATTGTTCTTTTAACCTCCACTGCAATCCTTGTCCAAACATCGCCTGTGACAGAGCAACGTAAACATTTTAATTGTTTCTTTTATCAAGCATGCTAATACACTTGGATAAATTCAAAAAAAAACAATAATGAAGCATGTATTAACTCTTTTCTATTTGTTGTCCTCACTATAAAGATCATGGTAAATTATATAGGGTATGGGAATCAAAGTTTATGAAATATGCGAGGGAACACACTGGTGCCATGTACAGTTTACAATATTACGTAAGGTCATTGTATGAAACATTTAATAAGAAAGAAAAGAAGAAATGTTCAAAACCAATGAAAGAAATTTCCGATGCTGTTGATCATGTAGACGAGGTAGTATGGAATTACTTGGAAAAATTTGACATAAAGCGCCCATTGGCCGGACCACCCGATATCAAATCCAAGGAGCACAAACCCAAGGAGTCCGAATCCAAGGAGCCCGGATCCAAATCCAAGGAGCCCGGATCCAAATCCAAGGAGCACAAACCCAAGGGGCCCAATCCCAAGGAGTCCGAATCCAAGGAACCCAAATCCACGGATGTGCCTACCTAGAGCATGTCTTCCCTAACTGTTGTAATCAACTAATCTAATTTATATCAATTC